TTGTCAGTGCTTTCAGGAAGCTGAAAGATGGCAACAAAACAAGCAGACACTGAGGCTCTGGAGCAAGAGCCAGGACACAGTATTTCACCAAGTCTAGACTGTGGGCTTTAGTCAGATGAGTAGGAGGCCCTCTGGGACACCATGGAGGAGAGAAGCAGAGAGGTCACCACGAAAGAGGTCATCCTGAAGAGGCTGCAGGCCTTGGGGTAGGCTTTAGAAGGAAGCCTTTTCATAGGCATATTGGATGATGGACCATTCTATAGCAGTGGCATCCAATATTTTTTCTTTTGATTGCCCAGTAAAAATACATATTTTATATCACCATCCAGGACACATACATAATCAAGTTTCATAAAACATTTAACTTTATAAAATAGGACAAGTCTGATGTTTGCTATTTTTTTCCTAATTCGTTTCCGTAAATGTTGGATGAACCTGCTGGCGAGTGACAGCACCACTCTGAGGGGCCCAGGAACCCGGTGTGGAGGTGGAGCTAAGCCACCCTATGGAAGGAGTGCCATTTAGAGGAGGCAATTTCCGTGGAAAGTGGGGAGGGGGGATGCGATATTTTTTGTGTGGTGATGGTCTCTAGAAGCCTTCCCTGATTCTAGAGTGTAAATGAGTTACTTTGAGTTGTTATGGCAAAATTTCAGACTTCACCCATCATATGATCCACTTCTTACACAAAACATGTCTGACACGAAATGGTTTTCTTTATATCCACAACCAATCCTCCAACTCTTCCGGTGCCAACAAGGCGGATGCATTTCAGTTCTGACACTAGTGACCTTGAGGTATCGTCAGATCCCACAGTTAAGGGCTCAGTCCCACAAGACTGCTCCCACCTCAGATGCCATCTGCCAGTCCTGGGCCAACTGTACATCTGACCAGCTAGCTCTAAAGTCACGGGGTTCCCACAGCCCACACCTCAGAATTGATCATTTGTGAGAATGGCTCACAGAACTCAGGAAGGTACTTTACTATTACCACTAAAGAATACAAATCAAGAACAACCAAATAGAGGAAATGCATAGGGCAAGATAGGGTTTGTGTGTGCGGACCTGCAAAGCTTCTACTCCCTCTCCAGCATAATCCATCCAGCACCTCAATGTGTTCACCAGCCGAAAGCTCTCTGGACCCTGTGGTCTCAGAGAGGGTTAGGGCTTTTTGTGGAGGTTCCATTATATTGACATCATGGATTAAACCATTGGCCATTGCTGATTGACTCAATCTCTAACCCTCTCTCCTCCCCAGAGGTGGAGTTAGGGCTCAAAGTTCTTACCCTCTAATAACCAACCCCCATCCTGAAGCTATCTAGGTGTTTCCCGTCACCAGTTATGTCCTATAACATTAACTCATGTAAAGGGGCTTATGAATAACAAAAGGTATCCTTCATCCCTATCACTGAGAAAATTCATGGATTTTAGAAGCTCTAGTGCTGAGAACCAGGGACAACAGAGCTGAATCTATCATTCTCATATCATAATATCACAACGTATTTATCTGACCAGCCCTACTGTCAGTAGATTGGCCAAGATAACTTTTTAAGATTCCTTTTAATGCTTGGTTTCAATTTAGTACCACTCAGCAGAGGGATAGAGGTGGATGAGAAGAATTTGCTTCTAGATTCTCACAGAGCAATGACATCTGTTTTATTTCATTTCATGGGTGGCTATGGAATGTAGCACTGCATAGAAGGGTTTTATAGAAGATACAGGGAGTGTCTCCGTGGACAGGTTTAGGCGAGGAAGGTGATAGCACCTTGAAAGCCATGCTTTCTGGAAGAAACCTAGTACGGCCCTTCGTGCACATCAGACCTACTCACAAGGATAACCAGCTGCCCTGCCCAGGAGTAGAGAGCTTTGTCACATTAACGTTGCCTCCTTGTGAGTGCTGCCCAGCAGTCTGGGGAATGTCATCTCAGGATCTGGCTTTCCCAGGTTAGAGAGAGGACAAACTGGGATCCTTCTTGCCTCCACTTTTAGCATACTTGGGAGAATATTAAGGGTAAAACTCTTTCTCTCATTTCCCTGCCAATGGTCTAACCACCCTCAGGTTTGCTCCAGCCTTCCCAATTTGTTCTGAACTGTTCTCTTGGCTCAGAACCAGGGCCAAAACCTATAGCACCCATCCGTTTCCTTCCTGCTGCTTACTCTGAGTCCTATCTGCGGTGCATACAGGTTGAATGGTGGTGTGGATTATTTATTAAATCTTTGTGTGTGGGTAGCTATGTTCTCTCCGCCTCATCTGTTCTAACAGAAAAGTAACTTCTGGCCTGCAATGAGGAGAAACTAGATAAGAGAATTTTAGATCCCAGGGGATAAGCCTTTAACCTTGTCCTCCAGAGGGTGGGATGGCGGGGGCTGGGGATGGGGGCATCTTTTTTGCTGTGTCCTCTAGAAACTGAACTCCCTAAATACCCACATGTAACTAATTTTAGGGAATCCCTGCAACCAGATTTTCCTCTACCCGAGTTGAGTGCCTTAGCGGCACTAAAAAGGAAAATCCTTTCATGTGGCCTTTCTTTGCTTAAGGACTTTCAATCATAGCCTCTGAGCTTTAATATCCTTTTGATCTTCCCAATCCAGTTTTAATTTGGTCTGTTTAAATAAGGGAAGGATTTAATGACATCACTAATAATGTGGCTCTGGGATAATGTAGATAGGAACCACTGGTCCTGAATGTTCTTTGATAAATTGTTTTGTTTTGTTTTGGCTTGCAAAATGCTGCCTAGGGGAAATAAACTTCAATCTGTTTCTTGGTGTTTGCTACATTTCATTCTTAAGTAAAGCTATCCTATTCTACCAACAAATGCTTGTGCTTGAAGCAGTGTATTTATTGTGTTCTTTTGCAATAGGAAGCCTGACTTGTCATTGAAGATAAAATCTAATGTTGGCAGTGTGAGTGTATTGATAGTTGTAGAAGTGTGGATGACATTGGCCTAGACACATTCTTAAGTTATAAAAATGTTTAGAGAGCTGTCATGGAGAGCTGCCATGGAGAGCTGCACTGTTCTATAGGATAGCCTCTAGCTACGGGTGCTTGAAGTCTAAAATTAAAAATTCAATTCCTTAGTCACACGAGCCACATTTCCAGTGCTCGGTAGCCATATGTGGCTAATGTGATACTGACCTTTTGGGCCAGATAATTCCTGGTGGAGGTGGGGGACTGGCCCCACTGAGTAGATGTCAGGACAATCAAAAATATCTGCAGATATTGCCAAATGCCCCCTGAAAAACAAAATCATCCCTGGGTGTGGATACTTTGCCTAGTTTGTCCATTGTAGATATAAAACATTTCTATTAACAAAGACAGTACTGTTCTAAAATAATCTCCAGCAAAGTTTGGTTGGGGGGTATTTTATAATTTAAGCATTTTGAGCTTTAGGGGAATCAGAATAGTCATCTGGTTCAAAACCATGGTAAACTGAAGCACTGAGAGGTTTTTGGGTGACTTAAGGTCTATAGCATGCAAGTATCAATCTAGAGTGTTAGATTTCATGCAGCCTAGAGAACAGACTTCTGATTTTCATTTAAACCTATTTCCTCATTCCTCTGTTCTTGCACTCAGTGGGAGGAAGAAGTCCTGAGAAATGGGACTGGGGCAGTCCTGAGACTCCAAGCAAATTCCTTACCTAAACCCTGCACATAACTGTTTTACTCCTCGTGGCCTGTGGCTTTCTCTAAGGCCCTGCCTCTAGGCTGGGGTCAGAGGGCTGCCTGGGACATCTTGTAGATCCACCTTTGCTATCTCAGAAGATGGAGCCCATTTAGGTTTCCCAGTTCCATCGGTGCAGAGACATTGGGAACACGCTTCTAGGGCCTAGGGCCATGGATGCTTGTAGTCCTCTGTAAAATTCCCTCTCTTTAGCTGTTAAATTTTCAGGGTCTCCTCTATTGGCTTCCGTACAGTGGTCCATGGCAAAGCCTTTAAAATGAAATGCCTGGCAGTTTTTAATCTTCAGAGGTCACAAGAAAGTAGAGAGCCCTGCAGAAAGTTTTGGGGAAGGAGAAGAAATCTTTCTAAGATTGTTGGTATCCACAACCAGAAAGTTGGCTTAGCTAGGAGAGGTCTGGAAGGCAGGGGAGCCTACAGAGTGACTCAGGGGCTTGGATCTCTTCTCCCTACGTTAATCTTGTACATCCCATATACCTCTCCATGACTCTTCTTCAGTCATTAATTTTATTCTCTCCTCTGCTTCCAAACCTTCAGTGGCTCACTGCTGCCTTTTCACATGTGAAACTTCTTGGCCTTATACTCAAGGCCCCTTTGTTCTTGTATGGAGATCTTCTCTTTTCCTTTGTAGGAGTAAAAAACCAGTTTTTATGCCCACGAAAGCTTTACTGTTACTGCGGTTCATAGAACAATTCCGTTGGCAGTGGTGGAGGCTTTGCTCAAAGCGGTTTGATGTTTAATAGCTTGCTCAGGGAGAAGTTTTGTTTCTGGTGATACTTTGTTGAGTTGGTAGCCTGGAAGACTCCTTAAAAACCATTATACAGCTCAAAAATCAGAGGGCCCAGTGATCAGGCCAGAAAGAGTGGCAATGAAAGCGGACGAAGAGTTTTGTGTAAATAAACCCTTGAGTAACCTTGAGCTGTTGGCCAGTTTGGTTCTGTAACACTGTGGGCCCAGTGAGCTGTGGCCCAGGTCAAAGGCCTGTATCCTGAGGAGCCAGCTGTCAGAGTTTAGCTAGAAGTGAGCTAATGTGTAAACTGGCCCTGAGGTCTTTTCAAGTGGCTTCATTTTCCCAGCATCAGGGGAAAGAAGTGACTTTATTTCAGTTTGCTGCCCAGCTGCTGTTTTATTGAACTGTTGATGTTTTCCTTTGGGAAACCGGTCTTCTTGAGTGTCTCCACAGTGAAGGGGAAGGTATCTGATTTGGGGACAGGTTTTGATTTTAGTGATGAGAGGGTGGGGACCGGAGGGACCGGAGTCCTGCTGGTCAGCATGACCGTGGCCACTCTTGTTCACTAGCTCTGTGTCTCTCCTTTGCTCCCCAGACCAACGAGTGGAACAAGAATGATGACCGGCTGCTACAGGCTGTGGAGAATGGAGATGCGGAGAAGGTGGCCTCCCTGCTGGGCAAGAAGGGAGCCAGTGCCACCAAGCAGGACAGCGAGGGCAAGACCGCGTAAGCTAAAAAAAATTGGTTTCTAACTGTAGTGGTTCTGGGTTCTCAGAGTGTTCTCTGGAATCCTTGGAATCCATGGGGGAACTTCACAAATGCCTTTTAGGAGACTTTGTGAAAGTACTGTCCTCCCCCACTCGTACCCCTCATGTTAAAATATGTAAGAGGATATTCTAATTTGGTTCCTGTCTCTTCAAGTTCCAAACTGCACATTGGGCTCTACCTTGGGTGGCTATATTTGTTTTTAGGTATAACCAAAAATTATACTAGAAAAGAAATAGCACCGAGATTGCAACCAATCAATAGGTAGTAAAGGAATCGTACATTAGAAACAACATAAAAGAGGGTATTTTTTTTTCATAACCCTCAGGCTTTACTATTTATATCATTATTTCTTTTAAAACCCCTTCCTTAATGTAGATCAGTAATTACATGAGTAGTATGAATTTTGCATTATAATTTGTCATTGGTGGTACTCTAGCCCACCATAATTAAAATTATATATTTGATTAAGTATTTGTGTGTGTGTGTGTGTGTGTGTGTGTGTGTGTGTGTTTATTTGTAAGCATCCTTACTCTGGTCATATTGTAGAGAGAGATCATTGACTTTGTGGCTAAATAGACTTCTAATCTGGACTTCATCACTTATGAATTGTGTAGTCATTGAATATTATTTCATTTAAATTGGAGATGACAGTATTTAACCACTAGGGTGGCGGGATCTCTGGGTGGCTCAGCAGTTTAGTGCCTGCCTTTGGCCCAGGGTGTGATCCTGGAGTCCCGGGATTGAGTCCCACATCAGGCTCCCTGCATGGAGCCTGCTTCTCCCTCTGCCTGTGTCTCTGCCTCTCTCTGTGTCTCTCATGAATCAATAAATAAAATCTTAAAAAAAAATAACCACTAGGATAGTTACAAATATAAAACAAGATACTGACTTCGGTTAGGGGCCTCCAGAAGCAGGTTCTGAGACAAAGATTTGCGTATAAGCTGTTTCTGTAGCCAGTTCTCCCAAGAGCACACAGGAAAGGCCCGAAACTGACATGCTTTGTCACTGACAGGTTACTGCTATTGGCAACTGGAACCCAGTCCTGCTAATAAGACCTCTGGGAGTCTCTTTAGACTCAGAGTAGGGGTTGGCCAACTATCTTTGTAAAGTTTTAGTGGGATGTAGCCAAATCCATTGATTTAGCATTGACCATGGCTGCTTCCGTACTGCAAAGGTAGATTTGAATAGTGAAGGCAAAGACTATGGCTTACAAATCCTAATATAGTAACTCTCTGGCCCCTTGCAGAGCTAGTTTCCTTACCCCAGGTTTAAGGTACATCTCAGAGTTATCCTGCCCAAGGGGTAAGGAAACTGGGGTGTGTATTCCTAACCACTTGTCCTTCCAAGATTAAGTGCTGCCCTTAAGGCCCAGGGTGCTCATGGGCAGAACAAGTCCAGGAGGTTATGAAAAGGGTTATGAATAGCACTTATAGCTATAGATACCATATGTAAAGAGCTAGCAGTGACCCACAGTAGGTGCTTGATAAAGCCATTTCCCTTTCCTTCTTATCCTAGATGAGTGGTTCTCAATCCTGGAAATCACCTGGGGTGCTTTAGAATTACCTGGGTGCTTTAAAAAAAGTATCGATGCCATGCACACTCCAGATGTTCAGAAACATTTTGTCCATGAAGGGGCCCAGGAATGAATTTTTTTTTTCAGGAATGAATATTTTAAAAAGTATCCCATGTAGATTCAACCAGAGAGAATCATCGTTTAGAAACTAGATTGATACTAGGTTGATTGATGGAGTGTGAGAATAAAAGGCAAATTTGCAGGAGTTTTAGTATCACATTTTAGCAAATTTTGCTGACAGTATAGACCCCAGTTCCATTGTTTGGGGAGCCACAAGATAGCTTATGGAGTTGCACTCTAGGTAGCAGGCTAGTCGATGTGCAAGGGGAAGAGGGAGGTGTTCTCAGGTTAGAGTCTGTTCCTCTAGGAGCTGGGCCTGCCCCTCTGCCAAAGCCCTAGGTTGAGCTCCCCACCGTCAGCCTCAATTTGACTTCCCAACTTTGCAGAGGCCTGTCTCTCAGATGTGGGACCCAGGGCCGTATTCTGGTAGGTTCTGATTTGGTAGGCAGGACTTCTAATAGCAGGTGGGCTTTAGTTGTTGGCTAACACTGTGTTGGGCGAGTTGCCTGCTTAACCTTACATAATTTTTAGTTCTTAACTCTCTTGCAGTCTAGATTGTAATTTCCGGGAATCCCTGGGTGGCTCAGCAGTTTAGCACCTGCCTTTGGCCCAGGGCGTGATCCTGGAGTCCCAGGATCGAGTCCCATGTCAGGCTTCCTGCATGGAGCCTACTTCTCCCTCTACCTGTGTCTCTGCCCCTCTCTGTGTGTCTTTCATGAATAAATAAATAAAATCATAAAAAAAATAGATTGTAATTTCCTCGACAAAAGGGGGCTGTTACTTTGCCGTTGATCCCTATGATTATATCATTTAGCCCACTGCTCAGCTTGTAAATACTCAACAAATATTTGTCAAATGCATTAATTACCCTTTTCCCAGGATGCCATATTTGGAGTCCATGCTTTCTGAGCCATGTGGCAGAGGCCACATTTCTAAAATCTAGTCATGAGATTTTTGGTGGTAGACAACTTCTTGTTCCACTCCATAGCTTCCTGGGCTCCTGCTGCTTCCAGTTTAGCTTTGCAGGTACCTACACAAGCCACCTTTGATAGCCATCCCAGAGAGATGGGAGATAGATGTTTCTGATAGTTTTTTTCAAGACAATACTCACGAAAAAGAAGATAGACAATTTAGGTTAGCGTCTTAGTCACAATTGTGATCACTTTAATACATTTGCACCTTTTTTTTTTTAAGATTTTATTTATTCATGAGAGACTCAGAGAAAGGTAGAGACACAGGCAGAGGGAGAAGCAGGCTCCATGTGGGGAGACTGATGGCAGAACTTGATCCCCAGACCTGGGATCACGCCCTGAGCTAAAGGCAGGTGCTCAACCACTGAGCCACCCAGGCGTCCCCATTTGTACCTTCTTAAAATAAGACATTTATTATGTATAGAGTAGATGGCCAACCAGTTAATTTTTCTCTTTCTTTTGGGAAAATATACGTAACATAAACTTTACCATTTTACCCATTTTGAAGCACACATTTCATTGACTCTAAGTACATTCACAGTGTTATGCAACCATCATCATTTAGTTCCAGAAATTTCTCATCATCCCAAGAGGAAACCTTGTACTCCTTAAGCAGTGACACCCCTCAGCCTGCCTAACCACCCCTGCCCCCCACAACCACTAATCTGCTGTGTCTGAATTTGCCTATTCTGGATATTTAATATAAATGGAATCATACCACTGGGCCCCTTGTCTGTGTTTTTTTTTTTTTTTTTTTCTTCACTGAGTGTAATGTTTTCAAGGTTCATCCTTGGCTGTAGCACACACATCAGTCCTTCATTCTGTTATCTGTTAATGGGAGAAATGCATTTGGCAGTCTACAAAAATCATCCCCTCCATTTTGCAGATGGTAAAACCAAGGCTCATGTGATAGAGCTCTCCCTGAGTTAACTCCAGAAGCAGTTCTACCTTTGCCATTGTACTTACAAGTCCACCATTTTTTTGCTTTCATGACACCTATGTAGAAAGTTAGAAGAACTTTAAAAAAAGAGAGAGAAGGTCATTTTTTCAGTATAAGATTTTTCATAAATAATCACCTGTTAATAAATAACTTGCTTGGAATATTCCTTATGATGATTAAAGTTATTAAGTCCTGGGCAGCCCCGGTGGCTTAGCGGTTTGGTGCCGCCTTCAGCCCGGGGTGTGATCCTGGAGACCCGGGATCGAGTCCCACGTTGGGCTCCCAGCATGGAGCCTGCTTCTCCCTCTGCCTCCCCGCCCCCCTCTCTGTCTCTAATAAATAAATAATCTTAAAAAAATAAAGTTATTAAGTGCTAACTATAAGAGTTTAATTAGAGGTACCAAAGTCAAACCTACCTGGCTTCATACTGTCATTCAAAGCTAGTGGTTTTGGTATTTGGAAGGAGGGGGTGCTGTGGGGTAGGGAACCATGCCTCCTGCCCCTTTGGTATCATGGAATCATACAAGGCCCAGACTCTGTTGTAACAGGAGCCCCAAGCAATGTTGTCCCTTTGGCTTCTGTCCTCTCCCCTCTGCACTTCCATATACGGGTTAGTCTAATCTGTGCCTTCCTGCCCAAGTGTATGTGCATCTCCTTCACGCTTGAAGATTTTTCTCAGGCTGTGGAGACTTTTCCTTTGTCCTGTCCCATTCTCTCCACATGCGTTGGTTTGATAGTGTGCCAATGAGTAACTTCCTAGGAGCAGTTCTGAGTCCATGACAGACCAAGGTAGTGCGTCCCCTCTGCTGAAGCTCTTGGCAACTCCAGCCCCATGGAGCTTGCAGGGCCAGGATCTGTGGATGTGTACAGAGTGGTTTGCAGTTGTCTCTAAAGGGTAAGGCCAGATCACACACTTGAAAGTTAGGTCCTTGCTTCAGTCTCTGCCTACTTGTTTGGGTTTCCTCTTTGACTTACACACATCCCTGTCATTTAAGAACTTTAATAATATCCCATTTTATAATTTTGTTCGATAATGTACAACGTTTCCCTATTGTACAACCTCTGGTGCCGATTTGGGCTCTTGGGGCCCTCCCGCCAGCCCTGCCATTACTTCCCCAAATGTTCTCTTGCCCCTGCCCTCTCCTGGAGGGAGGGCTGTTGGCCCCCTCCCCTCCCCTCATGTTTGCCCAGGTTCTGTGTCCAGTCCAGGGTGCCTCCTCTCTGGTGTTCTCAGTCCTTTTAAATTTTTTATCTTCTCTTTGAAATACTGGAATCTTGATCTACAACTTGACATATTGTATTGAAAGAACAAGGACAGAAAAGTCTTGGCAGCTTAAAAATACCTTTGTTTTTTGAAAGGCTTGAGACCCTTACAATGCAGTTATCTCCCTGAAGACGAGGATCGCGTGATTTT